AATTGGCTAGTCTGCTGGTGTTGGACCTTCTGCAGACATGGGTGCTTCACCTGGATCCTCTTGAATACACTGAAATGTTATGCACACTGGTGTATTGATTTGGATAATGTTGTCTGCCAATTTTTTGCTTGCATGTTGAACATGTGATGATATCCAACACAGATACCTTACTCTGCATAACATAGCTGATGGTCATTTTGTAAACATTTATGACATTTCTTGTTTTAAACTATGAATTAACAATTCTATTTGGGAAATGATGCTACTTCAAAAGAGGAGCATCAAGAATTTCACATTGTTTTGGCAAGCTACCAAGGGTATCATTATGAAAAGATTTGATGCAATGAGCTTATAATCAATTTGTTCTAGATACTGAAAATAATTGAACTTGTTTTAATGGTCTCAATATTATGTTTTTGACCTCAGGCAACTTTCCTGGTAAAATTGGTGGAAGCTAATGTAGCTACTGCCTCTGTGCGTAGCTCTTTGAAAGCTGTTTCTGGTGAGCAATTAGCTGCCAGGCACTGTTTTCGTTTAGAAGATCCTCCTGATGACAAGAAATCATCCAACTCTGATAGGTTTGTCAACCTTCCTATTAGCATTAATTACCTAATAATGAGTGAATATTGAATATGGTGTTTATAAAATATGCAGAGCTGTTACTGAGTCAACTGAGCCTGAAGCGCAGCAGGATGAGCAGCAGAATAATAAATTGCAGCATGAAGAGCCTAATTCAGTTAATGGTAAAATTGATTCTTCTGTTGAACAGAATAATGAGAGTAAACAAGCAGAAGAGAATAATGAAAAAAGAGAAACCATGGAGAACAAGAAACAGAGTGAAGCTGGGGAGAGCAGTGTAAAGGGACAAGGAGAAGAAACACTTTCTCATTGTGAACATTCAGAAAAATCCGAGTCCAGAAAGGGAACTGATGTAAAGGTTAATGACATGGTTGTTGAATCACTTCATGTGAATGGAAGAGATGAAGCAGATCTGCAAAAGCAAGAAACACCAAGTACCGGTGAAGGTTTTGATACTCAAAAATCAAAAGTGGAGCCACCTTCCAGTTCCACAAAGGAGTGTGAAGATAGAGCCATACCATCTCATTCTGTGGATTCTCCAAAAGATGAGGATATGATGCCTGCCACAGAAAAGAAAGAGCCTGAGCAATCCATGTCGATGGTTGAAAACAAAGTTAAATCAACAGGTTTGTCCCTCACAATCTGATTGTAGATTATAGGCTCCAAAGACAAGATTATCATTAAATTGAAGCTCCAACTAAGGCTCAGATTTTGATCAATTGATTTAAATTTTATTTATTTCTTCCCAGTAGGTGAAGAAAAAGACTGCAAGATTGAGAAGAAAGATGCTTCAAATAAAAATGATCTGGATATTGATAAGATTAAGCATGCTGCAGTCACTGCTTTGTCAGCTGCAGCAGTGAAGGCAAAGTTTCTTGCAGAGCAAGAAGAAGATCAAATTCGGAAGCTTGCTGCATCATTAATAGAAAAACAGGTAATTCTTATTGCTAATCAACCTGCCTTTTGTTAGTGTCTTGCTAGAAGATCTGCTATTGTTTTATTTGTTGTGTTTTGGCTGTTGCCATTAAATTGGCTTTACATTGGAACTGAAATTCTGATTAGCCTACTTAGAACTGAGAAGCCTTAGTAAAACTGTGCCAGTTGGAGGAACTAAGAACAGCTTGCCTAGATGATAAAGTTAAATAATTTTACATTGTTTTTATGCTAAAATTTTCATATTTTACAGAATGCAATGGGATGCTTTCCTTGTTACATATCAGCTATCTGCAAAGTGTTGTGTTCCTTTTCAAATTCTTTCATTTTCCTGTTACTTATTAGTAAAATCCAGGCTCAGCCTAGGGTCCGAGCAATCACAAATAATTGCATTTTGCTGGCCAATTGCATATCACGGTCTCCTAATTTTGCTGTGGCATTTTGAGCTGATGTTAAATCAGTACTTTGTTTCATTCACTCTTTTTGTATTGCTAGATAAGTTTGGTAAATCTTGATTAATTTGCAGTTACACAAGCTGGAGACCAAGTTGGGCTTCTTCAGTGAGATGGAGACCACCTTAGTAAGGGTTAGAGAACAGTTGGATAGGTCAAAACAGAAACTTTTCCATGAGAGAGCACAGATAATTGCAAGCCGATTTGGCATTTCTGGATCCTCAGCTCGTCCCATGTCACAACCATTACCTGCCAACAAACCTGGAATGACTTTTCCTGGGACAGCTCCTAGGCCGTTAACTGGCATGGGCCCTGCAATAAGGCCACCAATTTCCAGGCCCCTGATGGCATCAATGCCTGCTCCCAGCTCATTTATGCCCACAGCAGTTGCAGGTAGTTCGGTACAACCTTCAAACACAGACAAGGTCTCATCGGTTGGGAATAAGTAATCTTCATTCTCTTGGATCCATTTTAGTTTTATTAGAGACGAGCCTGGAAACGCCCTCCTTACCCTGTAAGTATCTCCTCGAACTTTTTAGCAGTATAATCAACATTGGTTGTGCTTTTGTTATTATACATCCAATTAGTTCTCATTGTGATTATATTCAAGTGTTTGGTTTGCCCAATACATTATACAGATTCTTTGTGTTGCTTTTGAACCCCGGTTGGCCAGAGTGGTCGGTCTCAGTAGTGAAATGCAACAAGCGATATATAGTATGGATCGGACTCTAGTTATGGCGTTCAGCATTAGCAGGTTGCAGTTAATTTTTCGGAGCCTGGCATCTTGGAATAGGCAAAATCCTCGAAAGTACTTTCCTGCCTATATTGTGTCGGACTTCCTGTAGTAAAACCTCATGATTCTTGTAGTCGCATGTATGTGCTAGTATATGTAAAAACTAGAAGCTTTGGAATGAACATTTTGAGATATTCATAGTAGCAGTAGCTTTGGTACATTATATTGTACTGCCCTTTCTGTCACCTTAAGAATCATAGCAGTCGGATGTTTCGTTGTACTGTATTTTTAAGCATGTTAATTCAGATCTACAATGAAAGTTACTCCATAATTGAATAACATGTAACACAGAAGAATCGTTACAAAGTTATCACCCAAAATCGGCTGGAGTTATATACAGAGGATCCAATTCCGTAACACTGGCAGCTATTCATAGTTCATTTTTAGTAGTTGAGTCTAATTTGATTTGGGGTGACCTACAATTAAATTGTGGTTGTCTAGGCCACAATATGTTAATATGAATTTTGCATTTTTACTCCGAGTGTATCTTAAAATAGTAATTACAGACTTTTTCATAAATTAAAGTCTAATTGATTATTTAAGGTTATGGTATGCATTTTGTCTACATTTCTACCTTTCTTCAAAAAGGAGAAGATACTCCAACGGCCTCACCTCTAAGTCTTAGTGGAAGTAAATAATTGTGAGACCGTCTCTCGATCGCCTACTCCAACGGCCTCCTCTCGTTTCTTTCCCTGCTCCGATCGTCTCTTAATCGTCTGTCCTTTGACCTCTCATCCGCTGCTGGCACCTCTTCCCGCCTCCCTTCCACCTCCACCATCTCCTCCGACCCCTCACCGATGTTTCTTCCTCCTTCACCACCGTCCCTCGCCATCTCTAACTTCAGATCTAAGCTTCTTTATCTTTTTTCAGCGGTTCAATAAATTTTGGTGTTTAAGATTTGTTTTGGCTGTTTTAGATTTGATTTTCATCTGTTGTTTTGTTAAAGTTATTCCCACTCGTTTTGTTTGCGAGTTATTTCCTCTCGTGTCTTTTGCGAGTTTTCCTCTCGTTTATTTGACGAGTTATTTTTTCATAAGGTGAAACAATTTATCTGATAATGGAGTATGTTTGCTTCATCCTGAGCACCGAAGAAGATATGAACCTTGATATGCAGTTCAGATTAATGGAGATATTGTCTATGGACAGACGAGCCACAATAGAGTCAGACTTGGATAGCAAGATTATTAACAATATCAAAGAAGCTTCAGGTTCTCCAAACGAATTCAGCTTTAATATTGAAAAACAATAAGAGATTCAAGTTTCGTGTAGCATTGATAATTTGTTTCAATGTCTGATTGTAAGAATGTTTTATCATTTCATCGATCTTATTGTAAACTTTTCATCATATGATTAATGAATTAGCTCTTTTATTTCAAAATAAAAATAATAATAATGTGAGACCCATTAGTAATAACCGAACATTGCATTATATATATGTCTGCCAATGAAATAAAATCATGGGATTTATTTGGATTGATCAAGCAGTAAAAACTATGCTTGGCGCAAATTTGTTAGGGTTTTCTTGGCGGTTTGGTGTGTTCGGGTTAGCATAAATTATACATTAAGCTGTAATTTTGCAATATAAAAGATAAAATAAAGAAATGATGGACAATCATATGATCACAAGAAATTAAAGGGTGTGAGGGTAATATGAAAGTTTAAAGGAGAGCATTATATTAATTAATATAATTCTTTATTCCCTTGGGGCTTCTGTCTTCCATTCTGCATGCATGTGTGAAGTTTGATTGTACACTACGTACAATTAAACTCCAATACATAGAGTCAGTTTAATTCGTACTACGTACCGCGGGCAAGATCGAAATTGAAGGTTGACCAATTCAAGCTACTTTATTTATTTTGTTCCAGAATCCATTTCTGATTTCTGACAAATGGCCCGAAAAAAATCAGAGAGAGAGATTAGTATCCTTAAGTCTAGGAAGAGGAGTGAGTGGGGATGGAAAGACGGCTCTCTAGGCTTCTTTCTTGAATCTATTACCATCAAACTTCTGTTTTTTCTCCTTTCTTTCAGACTTTCCATTATCCCTTGCCTTTCTCCTTCAGGACCTATCATCTTCATTTCTTACATTTCTTCTTCAACTCCATCTCATCTATCAATATAATATTATGGTTTTTTTTATATATATATGCTTTGGTTTCCTAGTTTTGTTCATGGAGTTTTGATTTGTAGTAGTGCCTGGTGATAAGATAGGTGTGGTGTGGTTGATCAGTATTCGGTTTTCTGGAGATTAGCAGTGCCTTCTTCTGTGTTTCTTTTCTTTTCATATATATATATATAGAGAGAGATAGAGAGATTGCATGTGGTCAAGGTCTCCATAAGTAATGTCTTCCCCATCGTCTGAAGATTCTGCGCAGCCGCCGCCTTCAGATTCCCCACCGCCTCCTGATGATTCATCGTCTCCCCCTCCACCAAATAACAAATCCTCGCCTCCTCCGCCGTCTAACGGCGACTCGCCGCCGCCACCTCCCCCGCCTCCGCCTCCTCCTCCACCGCCTCCTCCGCCCCCACCCGGCGATAATAACGCGCTTTCCCCACCCTCACGCCCAAAGAAACACAAAAACTCGTCATCCAATAACAACGACAAACTCTTAATTGCAGGAGTTGCGGCAGGAGGTGCCCTGTTGATTCTTGTTTTGATAGTCTTCGTGGTCTCTTGCTGTAGACGCAAAAGGCGAAGATCTCATCATAACCAGATGCAATATTTCACTGACAATTCTCCCAAGAAAGGTCCGTATATTAGCGTTACTGCATATTTATTATTTCATCCGTCCCATTTTATGTGTTTGATTTGATTAACCAGGCTTAACTGAAGTTATTTTTAATCCAATTTTTCATAATATTAAGTTTAATATTAGCCAAGCAGTGCTCAGATGACACCAGGGTTGGACTCCAATAGGGGAGGTTGTGAGTTCGAGCCTCGAAAAAGATTTTATAATCATATAATTTGTTGAGTGTCTGTGAATGAACTGATCCACCACTTGATATTTCGTCTCTATTTACCTGGTGCTGAACTCAGCCCTTCCAGCAATTCACCCGACCTAATATTCCACACCTTCACCTGATACTAGATTTGATCCTTTCAATAGTATCCTTAACTGGTGTTAGATTTGGCTCATCTTAGTCACTCTCTGACACAACAATTTCTCACAACCAACATTACATTTTCGAAAAGCAAAGTGCACTTCCACACCTTCACCTGATACTAAATTTGACCCTTTCAATAATTTATTCTTAACTGGTGTTAGATTTGGCTCATCTTAATCACTCTCTGACCCAACGATTTCTCACAACCAGCATTACATTTTCGAAAAGCAAAGTGCACCCTTTAAACTTTCATCCAAGAGTAACTAATTAAATAATACTCCATATCATATAATTGAACTTGATCTTTCAAATCTCGGTCCAACAATAACCAATAGTATCTAGCAATAGTCTTTTTATATATTATATGCTCAAGATTAGGAATATCTGATCTCATGCATTTTTGCAGGTAATAATTATTATAATAACAGCGGGCCATACGGGACTTGGCAACCAAACAATAAGCCAACTGGCGATTATTTTGTTAAGATGCCACCTCCCCCTCCGAGCGCCGGCGTGAGCTCAGAGCATGCATGGCCGCTGGTGCCTCCGCCGCCGCCGCCAATGCTGAGTAGCGACATGAGCTCCGCTGCTTTCTCCGGTCCACAACAAGCAGCTCTGCCGCCGCCGCATCCGGCCATGGCTCTCGGGTTTAACCAAAGCAGTTTCACATATGACGACCTGGCAGCGGCAACTGGAGGGTTCTCTAAGGCTAACCTATTAGGGCAGGGCGGGTTCGGGTACGTATACAAAGGTGTGTTGCCAAATGGCAAGGACATTGCGGTGAAGTGCCTCAAATCTAACAGCGGACAAGGAGAGCGAGAGTTTCAGGCCGAGGTTGAGATCATCAGTCGTGTCCATCATCGTCACCTCGTCTCTTTGGTCGGATACTGCATTTCTGGCTCTCAAAGGATGCTCATCTATGAGTTTGTGCCCAACGGCACTCTCGAATATCACATTCGAGGTAAGATACATTCTTACTATGCTTTAATTTGATCCGTTTTGTGGCGACCAGAAAAATCCTCAGTCATTATCTGAGAGTGTGGATTGGACCAGCTTAAGTTGTCTATAGCTGACTAGCTCAAACCAAAAAAATATTGAGATTTGAACTCGTGATCTTGTGGTTACAAGTCTATATCCTTAACTATATCTTGGCTTGGGTGATGTTCAAATTGATCAATTTTGTTACTCTATGTTGGTGGGATATTATGTCTTAATGAGCGAAAATTTAATTTTGCAGCAACTGCTATGGATTTCCCAACCAGGCTTAAAATTGCACTAGGTTCCGCCAAAGGGTTTGCTTATCTACACGAAGATTGTAAGTCTGGATTGATAATTTCCTTCATATAATTATATTGTGAGTAATGATAATTAAATTGAATATTTGAGTACTGCAGGCCACCCTCGCATTATACACAGAGATATTAAGGCTGCAAATATTTTGTTGGACTACAATTTTGATGCAAAGGTACTTAGCTTTGCATAAGATCAAAATTTCCTTTCCTTTCCTTTCATTTCATTTCATTTAGTTATATATTTAAAGTTTATATTTGATTATGACTCATTAATTGTTGATACTTGATCCATTGAATTTAGGTTGCTGATTTTGGACTGGCTAAGCTCAGCAATGATACCCAAACCCACGTCTCAACACGCATCATGGGAACATTCGGGTGAATATATATACATACATACACTATCAGTTTATTATATATGTACATTCGGCGATTATATATATAGGAGCAGATGAGAGTTGTTACGTTTTATTTTGATTTTGTTAATTGTGGTTGGGTTTTGATAGGTACTTGGCACCAGAATATGCATCTAGCGGCAAACTGACTGAAAAATCTGATGTTTACTCATATGGAGTTATGCTCCTGGAACTCATAACTGGGCGACGCCCCATGGATGTTAATGGCGAAGATGAAACCTTAGTCGACTGGGTACATATATATATATATATATATATATTCATCAATTCCAGATGCAGTAATTAAGAAGAGTAGAACATATGATTGATTAAGGAAAATGATATATGATCTGCAGGCTAGGCCTATTCTGGCGCGGTCTGTAGAAGGTGGAAGTTTCGAAGGGCTGGTGGATCCACGGTTGGAGAACAACTACAACCACCAGGAGATGCATCGCATGGTGGCTTGTGCTGCTGCTTGCGTTAGGCATTCTGCTAGGAGACGTCCAAAAATGAGCCAGGTACATTAATTGTTCCTACCCACAATGCAATGTTTTATTTAAATCTCCAGGTACTTACAATTCAGCAAGGAGATTAGTCACTGTGTCCGAGTTGTGATGTCCTACAACGGCCTTGTTTGGTAAATAGCTGGTAGCTGATAGCTGATTGTGTTAATTAGATAATAGCATTAGCTGATTGTGGTAGAAAATTAGGTGTTAGCTGATAGGTGTTTGGTATATTTAATGCAGATTGTGCGTGCTTTGGAAGGAGACGTTCAGTTGGCTGATCTAAACGAGGGAGTGATGAAATCCACGAACGAGAGTTCAGAGTACGATTCGGGCACAGACACAAAGGGCGGGAAATATGGAGGAGGAGGAGGAGGAGAAGGGGGGTCGAGCGCGGAGTTCTCCAGCGGCGAGTATGTCGGCAGCGGCGGCCGAACACGCCACACTCCTTAAACAATATTGTCTGTCTGATCTCATAGATCTATCTTCTTCCACAATAATAATAGTCAGTCAAGAAAATTGGCTTTCTGGGAACTGCATGCAAAATCACATATGTGCTGGCTACTGGCTGGCCTGGTGATATGATGCATGCATAATAAAGACTTACGGCTTCACACTTCACAGCGCGCCACGCACTGGTGTTATGTTGTGTTTTTTGCTTTCTGGGTGGAATATTATATATGTCGCCCGGTGCCCGGTGCGACACACTTCCACCACAGATCGATCGAGGAGTAGATTAGAGAGATTATTATTGTGAAGTCACCTATCTCATCTCTTTCCCCCTAAAGCAAGCACCTTAATTGATGACTTGCAGTTTTTATGGTTAATTTGTGTTCAATTCATTTTTGGACTCATTTGTATTCCCTTTTGGATCAGAATCGAAGAACGTTTTAATTTATGGAATCACTTTTCCTTTTCAAAACTATCACATTTTATATCTTATGTTGTGATTTGATGACATAGTTGTAGCATTTCTAAACAAAAGCTCACAGATTCAAGTCATTGGCATATCATGTTATTAAGCAGATATTACTATTGTAGTCACCAAAAAAGTATGTGTCTATTACTACCTCTATTTAATTTTATGTCTCTAGTACAATGACTTAAATAAAGTTATTTACAATTTATAAATATAAAATAATATTAAATTTAGTATTTATATATAATTTATATATTGAGAAACTATATATTGAAAATACTTTTAAACATATAAACTAAAATTTAAAAATAATAAGAGAATAAGCAAAGAAGGAAGTTTTGGTTTGAACAATAAATAGTAAATTGGACAAGTCAAATAAGACAAAATGAGTAATATTTAATACATTTAACTTGAACAATGTAGATATCCATTCAATGTCAACAACAACAATATGACTGATAATCCAATATTATTTTACTTGAATTTGTAGATGCATCCAAGGCATGTGGATGTGAAATTTCATTTAAAAGCTTGCTTCTAGCGGCATGGTGTAATCAAAAGTACATGGTGATGACATGGTTTAAAATAACAATATTTGTACCATTTTTAAAAATAATTTAGTCTCAATGTTATTTACTTATTTATTTATCAATTTGTTATTACACTTGATAGGTTATACACTTCAGATCCGTATTCCCGCTTTTTAGTCGAGTCGGGGCCAAAGAGTTTGATCCCTGTCTACGGGTTGAGGTCAAAGGTAACGGGTCAAATCCGCCCAAACCTTCTGCCTTTAAAAGGGCTTTTAGCCCTTCGGGATAAGGGGTTTCTCCCTTGATTCCATTCATCACTCTCTCTCTCTAGAGATACTATTCTCTCTCTCTCTCTAAGACAAAACCTCTCCCTTCTCTCTCAGGGGATTCAAGATCACATATGAATAAAAGATATAACTTTGTTCTATATCTTCTTGTCTTCCTCCTTGTTCATACACTTATATACATGTACACACATCCTATCTACTAGAATTAGTACTATCATTTTGGCGCCGATTGTGGGTTCGATCCTTACAGATGGCGCCAAAATGATAGTACTAATTCCCTTGTATATGGTGTATGTACCGTATGTATGTATATAGATCATGTATATATGAAATGGACACAGAAAATAGAAAGAAGATCCAAGGTATAGAGTAAAATCCTTCTTTTATTCAATGTTGTGTTTGGGCAATAGTTATGTTGTGCATCCGTATGCACCATTAACGACGTCGTTTTATTAAAAATGCGCATCCCACTTTAAAAAAAATTCAGTTTTGATTCCCCTCAACAGCATTATGTTGTTTATTCATTTTGGAATTTTAGTTCATAGATTTTGGAATTTTAGTTCATTGATTTTGGATATATAGTTCAAATTATGCACAATATAATGTTGTTGCTGGGAATCGAAACTGATTTTTTTTTTTTAAATAAGATGCGCATTTTTTTTAATAAAACGACATCGTTTTGCACCATGCATGATGCATACGGATGCACGTCATAATTTGCCATGTTTGGGTGTTTTACGGTAAGAGAGAAGGGGGAGCGCATGGCATGAAATGAGAGAGAGAGCTCATGGAGCCAAAAATCCAAAAGGCCCCTAATTTAGAGGGTGGGAAGGAGGCCCCATATTTAGAGGGCCAAGAGCCCTTTTATAGGGTGGGAAGGAGGTGGCGTGTTTGACCTCAACCCGCAGACTGGGATCAAACCGTTCAGCCCTCAATGTACAGCCATTTGGCCACATCATCAGCCAATGAACGTTTTGAAGCTTCACCCAAAGTTATAATCTACTAAAACACATCGAGTCAATAGTGATTCTACTAAAGCTCGAACCCACAACCTCTTATGTAGAAGTTCAATTTGATGCCATTAAACCATAAGGTTTTTGACATATATTGTCATTTATTACAAAGATACTTGACACATCATTTATTTGTTTCTCATAGGTAAGTTAAGTAAGATACGATATGAGATGAATTTTCCAGACGGGTAGAACATAGACACAGTATCACCGGTTACAGTTTTGTATACTATTTCTAATACCAATAAGAGTTAGTTCATTAGCTCCTTATAAAATAGAGATGATTTTAGGAACAAAATACTAAACTAAAACAGCAAAAATCACAACTTATAAAATTAAAAGAAATTAAATTTCTGTGAATTATTAATTAAATTTTAAGAAATCAAAGTTAAAATGTATGAAATCTTAAAAACCTTAATCACAAAACTAAAGTAAATTTCGAATTTACTACAAAACATAATTCATAAAACTAGGATTTATAGACAAAATCTTAATAATCTATAAAGAGTTAATACTCGATTTGGTCCCTTGACTATTAAAATGTCACTATTTTAGTTGTTGATTTTCAAACTTGTTCAATTTTATCTCTAAATATATAATTATTTATCAAAATGACCCAAGCAGGACTATATTGGTTTGAACAAAAGACTATTTTCAATAAAAATTGCATAATTGATGATGAAATTGAACACCATTACAATAATGAATCTATATATTTTATGTGATATAATAATCATTAATTAATTTATATATATATATATATATATATATATATATATATATATATATAACTTTTTTATTTATATTATATATTATTAAGGTCATCATACAAATAACACAAATAAATGGAGCGTTATGCTGTGGACCCGTGTCCACCATGTACACAGTGGACACGTTGTATATTCATAATTTCTATACTGTAGATTCATAAAATTTATAATATAGATTCATAATTTCTGTACTGTAGATTCATAATTTCTTTATTGTAGATTCATAATTTCTATATTGTAGATTCATCAACTTTATAATGTAGATTCATAATTTATATATTGCATATTCATAATTTATGTACTGTAGATTCATAATTTGATAACTATGTGTTCATAATTTGATAATTATACAGTTTAGAAATTATAAATCTACCGTACAAAAATTATGAATGTGCAGTATAGAAATTATGAATCTACAATATAGATTTTATAAATTTACAATATAAAAATTATGGATCTACAATTTAAAAATTATGAATCTACAATATAAAAATTATGAATGTACAGCGTGTCCACCATGTGGTCAATAACATAATTTGCCAAAATAAATATACAGTGTCCAAATTATTTACATTTTATATTCTGATCCAACCCAAAACATATACATAATGCAGTATGTCCCTAAACCTAAGTATAAAGGCTCAAAATGCTTAACCGCAGCACTCCGTTTTCTTCCTTCTCCGAATCTCCGCCATCGCCTTCTACAGTACGACAGTTTGGGCGTAGTGTGGGCGTTTTGGTCATTTGCGACGCAACGAGGGCATTTGCGACCTCTTTGGACGCCACCACGCCGCCGGTAAATACATATTCCACGCAAAGTAGGGGCTTCAAGTAGATAGTATCTAGGTCTTCTACATAAGCCAGGGAAATAAATTTGCATTGTTCTTGGGTGAACCTCTGGAGTGCTTTGTGGACAAGGATAGATTGATGTTACATGTTATATATGATATGTTATTTTGACATCTTTTCTTTAAAGACCCTAACTGAGATAAAGGGATTGTGATATTTGTTTTTTTAATCAAATTATTAGTTAGTAGGAATTGTGGTGCTCCTTGCTTATAGTAAGCTTGTCTTAGTTACGCAGGGATATGTGTGTATCGGCTGACACTTAGTAATGCACTTTGACCGAAAGAGTTCTCTGCTAAACTGTGAAAGAGTTCTCTGCTAAACTGTGTATTGGAAAAGATGAGCAATTGTGTTTTATTCTTGTTGAAATCTTTCAACAATCATCTTCCTTACATTTTTCTGGAGCAGCTGTTTTCTATCTAATGTACTATTCCATTCTAATCATATTATTAGTTAGTAAGAATTGTGGTGCTCATATTTTTGCTTATAGTATGCTTGTCTTAGTTGAGCAGGGATATGTGTGTATCGGCTCATTGACACTGTTCCCTACAAAACTATGTATTGGACCGTTCCCTACAAAACTATGTATTGGGGAAGATGGGCAGTTGTGTTTTGTCCTTACGTTCAAATCTTTCAACAATCATCCACCTTACATTTTTCTATAGCAGTTATCTTCTATCTAATGTACTATTCCATTGTACGTGCTTTAATTATTGCTGTTTAATGCCTTCAGATTATAAAATCCCTTTTATTTTGAAATGTTTAATGTTGGGTAGGCAAACTTAAAGAGCAGGCAAATGAGGGATGGATGACTAACATTAGGCAAATGAGGGATGGATGACTAACATTAGGCAAATGAAGGATGGATGACTAACATTAGGCAAATGAAGGATGGATGACTAACATTAGGCAAATGAAGGATGAATGACTAACATTAGGCAAATGAAGGATGAATGACTAACATTAGGCAAATGAGGGAGGAATGACTAACATTAGGGTGAAGGATGAGCTGCAGACAAAAAAGATCGGAAGGAGGTAACCAGCGTCCATGAAGCTGTGAAGCTATCAAGTCCCTGAAGCAAATCAATTCAAAGGTTTCGTTTTTATTTTATTTTTTGAATTTTGATTTAGTTTTTATTGTTGTAAAAATCTTTTAAATTGTTTTGTTCTTTACAGATCAATACACGATGTAATAGAATTTCAAAAAAGATTCAAATTCAGAATCAGAATCAACCTCAACTCAATTTCAACCTGTTGAGCAACATGCTGATTCGGTAGACATACATACTGATCCTGAAATTAGGAGTTAACTACTGTTCAGGGAAGAGTTTCTGAAAAAGATAAATACTCCGTAGAGCTCCTCATGGAGGCTGGAGGACCGGAGGTCGAGGTTGAAGCCTTGTTTGGATCCTTGACTCTACGGAGTACTTATCTGAACAGTAGTTGATTCCTAATTTCAGCATCAGTAGGTATGTCTACAGAATCACGCTGAACTTGAGGTTGATTCTGAATC